ACATAAAACAATGTAAGGTTGAGCGTTTGCTGTGTGGGTTGCGAGTGAGGTGTCGGGCTGGCCGGGCCGCCGCCGCCGTCGTCGACGGATCGATACCAGTCCACAGGCGCCTGCTCGCCCCCTGCCAATTTAATCTAGACCCCACACCGCCTGCTCCTCTTTATACAACCCCCACTGAACACAATGATAGACGGCACATTGCGGATCTAATTAAAATGGACATTCGGCGATCTAAATTCGTGTAGATTCTTGAGAACGTATGTAATTCTGTTACTTCAAACATCTATTTCGACTTCACCAGATCACAATTTTAGTAAACTTCGAAGTTTACGCAAGCCCTAGTTTTTGTAACATGGACATAAAAATTTACTTCGTAAGGCAGTTAATATTATCGATATCGGAATTATAACTTTGATGCGCAGTTACATTAACGTATTGATGACTCGCTAACCGTAACTATTTCCTTGTCGCGTCACCGTTATTGTTTATGTCCCAATACTTACACAAGGCGACCGCTTCAGAGGTAATATAATCCGCCACCAAGTGGCGTATGTTAATTTGCTGCGTGTTTCATGTCAATAAATATTTACATTGTTATGTGTGCACAATAACACTTTGTTTTATTTCGTGTATGCACTCTGTTCGGGATATGTATCACAAAATGGCTGCACTTGCTCTGTACGACACGATACCTTATCGCGCTGAGATAAAATTCGCCAGTGGACTTACACGCACGATTCAAGTTTTGCTTAGTTGCCAAACTAGTGGAATATTGTTATAACTCCTGTTTATAACAGGAACCTCATTATTCGATATAAATCAATTGCTATCTAGGAATATTTCAAATATAAGAAATTGGATACAACATGAAAATATAACTATCCAGAGAGTTTTCATAGACGTCTTTTTAATTTATTATGCGGTGGTTCATTGCCCCAGTTTTCGCATTTCTTACTGTAATTATGTACGTCAATCTAAAACATGGACTGATGAAGGAGATGAATCACTAAGAAAAAATAATTGGGTTGTTATATTTCATGAAACTAAGTAACAAGTATTCCTTTATTTCAGAACTGAAGACGAAAGCGATTTCCTGGTAATTAGCTTTGCAGTAATACCAGTAGGTAGGTCTTTAGTCAAGGAGAGTCTTATAACATTTCTTTATAAAACGTTTAGCTTTTAAAGTTCAAATTCAGGCAGAAATATTGTTGTGTTGAAACATGTTTATGTTATGTATTTGGTTTTATTATAGTGTACAGTAGCGGTACAAACATAATAATAAACATAATAATGGACAAAAGTGCTAGTAACTACCCTCTTCTAAAACACAAAATAGGCGTCTAGAGATTGAGCAACGGACACGCCAGCCCGTGACACCATACCCTCTTCTTATTTTTGCAAATTATTTTTATTGGTACTTTACACAGTATTGGTATTTATACAATAGTTAATAAGTCCATAAAGTATTTATTAATGTTTTTAACAACTTTATTAAAAATTTGTATTCTGTGAGTGTAGAGTGTTTTATACTCGTAGATTTTATACAACAAAGAGAGAGCATCATGAAACTAAAGAATAATGATAATGGTATTGAACTTATGATGAGTTGAATTGTCTACTCAAATCAATGAGGATCAGCAACTAGTTAACGATTCCTAAATAGGTATTCTTTCCTACTCCCATTGAAAGACACAATAAGTTGATACTTATTATTTCTTATTTACTAGTATATCGATTAATAAATCAACCAAATGAGTAACATTCATTTCCATAACAGTTAATTGAATACTTGTCAATGTAAAGTTAATAAGTAGCAATATTAGGTAGTATTTATTTTAAATGGGACAGTGTGGGGAAATCCGAAACCATAGACTATACAAGGAAACTGCCTTAGGAACCATTAAGTCTTTTTTTGTGAAAACAATTTTGGCATAGTGAATTTTTTGGTCAAGCGTGAGTGGTTCATAAAAATGAATAAAATTTATCAAAATATTTTTATTGCTAATCAACTCAGTTTCATGCAGGAATCATTTCATTGTATGGGACAAAAAAAGTTGGTCAAATTTCATAAAATATTTTTCATACAAATTTAATAAAAATTTACGTTTTTTTTTAATGCTGATAGATTCAGTTTCTCATAAGTATGATTTTATTTTATGGGAAGAAAAAATCGGGACAGCAGAAGTTGGTTAAATTTAATAAAAAGTTGTTCTGATACAAAATGAACAACATTTTAGTAAATTTGAATTATTTGACAGGTTTATTGATTTTTTGTGTTTTTTTTTAAGTTTAGGTAAGGATTGGATAGTTTTAAACATCAATTCTATTTTGGTCTTGAACACAACCTATGAATTGAAATTTTCACAGTAATTCTATAATATAGTTGAGAAAACGATACTGTTATGTTCTTTTGTAAAAAACATTGAGTTGTACATTCTTTTAACTGCCTCTGTGGTCAAACGGTTACCATCCCGGACTGCCACGCGAGAGGTCCCGGGTTCGATTCCCGAACCGGGAGAAATATTTGTACGACCTACATTTATTTCTTTCGTGAGTTTCGGTGTAATTTCTGGTGTTTTATGTGTATGTCCATGGCACCCGCGACACAGGGTTTCCCTAGTGCGGGGCTATGTTGAGTGTGTGCGTTTTTTTTTTGTTAAAAAATTAATGACACGTGTGATAAATTCCGTATTTTGTAAAATAAACTACAAAATGTGTTTTAAAAGTTTATTTAAGTAGTTAAAATATTTAATGCTTCTTGCTTTTTTATTTTTGATAATATTTATCTTTTAAAATACTAAAAATAATCCACACAAGTGCACAACAACATCACATTTTTGTTTAACAACTGACTGACATTTCTTTTACAAAAACTACTTATGTATGCTGGATTTAAGTTGGTTTTTGTGAAATACAAATCAACAATTGTTTAGTTAAGCGTATCCAGTCTATAACATTGACTTCGTAAAAACTTATTACATACATACATACATATACTTCAACCCTAAAAACTTAATACACCTAAAATATACTGAAGGGAAAATTGCAAATTCGATCTTGCTTTGGTTTTCAACTTCTCACAATAACTATTAACCATTATTATGATTAACCATTGAGTTTTATATTTAAATATAAATGGAGAATATTTTTGAAGAAGGAAAGGTCGAACTGTGCAACGGAATAATAACGAGTAAACAAGGGTCAGGAGAGGAATATGAATAGAAAAAACACAATGGAGATAAAAATAAGTGTACATTACAAAAGCAAGATAGCAAAACGTTTTCACTGGAACTAAATAAAATACAGAACCCAAAAGCAGAAGAATAATTATTGTTGCATAATGTTTTAAAATTATTTAAACTTAAATGCAATAGACTATGTAATGTAATCTTTTTCCAATAGATGAGGCCACTACAGTCATATTAGGAACACATGCAGAGGCCTAACCCTTTGGTAAAAGTAATGTACGAGCCATTTGCAGAAAAGTGTTAAAAATTTAAATGAGTTTATACTATTTTAGGGGATAGAAAGTGTACGAGTGTGTGTATATTAGGAACCAGCATGCTCTAATATAAACCAGTGTACGTCTTCCAGCTGAATGATGATGATGATGCGTTAATATTATTTTTCGAATATGTATAGTACAGACAATTTATTTTGCTCACAAAAAGTCTTCTGATATTTGGTATGTTACATTATGTTTATTATTATTATATACACATACATAAAGCAAAGAGTCAAAAGAACAAGAAATACAGGAACAAAGACGCGCAGGAAACAGAGAACAAAGAATATTATTATTATATTGCAGCACTTAAATTATTAATAGGTATATTCTTCAAACTACATGAAATTGCACTTAAGACAATGCTCTCACTCAATGATAGGTTATTTGTTATTGTTATATTAAGATGACAAGACAATTTAGACTTAAAATGCTGACCAGATGCAACCCAAAACCGAAACTAGATGAAAAAGAGGAGCTCTTTGCCGAGGAGGGTCATAAGATCAAATATGTTTAAAATACAAATGGTACAATACATGCAGATATCCATTTAACTGCCTCCGAGACCGTACAGTTACCATACTGGTCTGCCTAGCAGAGGTACCGGGTTCAAATCCTAGGCCAAGACAAATGTTTGTATGGCCTACATTTATTTCTCTTGAGAGTTTGGGTGTAATTTGTAGTTGGACCATAACACAAGCGATACAGGGTTTCCCTAGTGCGGGGTTTCAAAAAAATAAATAAATATCATATGCAACATTGACAAGGGCAGCTAAATATTTTAAATTAGTTACAGACTCCCAGACACTAAAGTTTTTCCTGACAACATTCCTAGAGAGAATTACATTACTCTAGTACTCATAATAATCACCTTGATAAAATTTGATACCAATTTATTTGTATGTATATACATTGTATGTATATAATATATAACTGCATAATAGTTAAAAAAGGACATTAAAAAACCAGTTCCTATTAAATTTGAGTAACAGATGGCAAAATGTTCAGTACTAAAAAGAATAGGTAATATTATCTAAAATGCCAACACTACAGAACATGTTGGTTACATTATCTGTTATAGAGTGCCTAACAAAGGATAATGACTGAGCTAAAACAAGTTTATAGTGTTTGTTTTTATTGAAATATAATGCACAGTATGCTAAAGCAACAATGTAAGGAGAACAAAATTATAATGCAAACAAAAATTTTTACAGATTTGTAACGATTTTTGTTGAAATGTGGTAAACCTAAATTTTTCACTTGTGTTCTTTTCAATGTTTTTTTTAGTTTGCAACCATTTCAATCGAAAAAGCTTCTAATATTAGTATCTCGCGACAAGGACGCTATGTAATCTATTCAGATGGCTATAAAATTAAGGAAGTGCGCCGAATTCACTGAGTTGCATCATGACCTTCTCATAAAAATAGGCTGACCAGTTACTAAGAGCATAATCGATTTACGTTACTCCATTTTATACAGCGCAACGCAAACTCACCAAATGAAAGAATTCCGCAGCAGTCGACTGCGACTCGATTGTTGGCCTAATTTACACACATAGCACGAGCAAAATAAGGCGCAATAAGTTACTGAAACCGTAGTTCATTTATCGCGAGTACTGCAAGGCAAAACCACCAATCGTTTATTGTTCTTCTGTACGTAAATTTCAAGGAATCTTTTAAATTCACTTGTAGTCCACAAATTGTCACTGTTTCGAGATGAAATGACACTATTCAATTTTGACCCATACTTGATTTTCACTGATTTTCAAGCAGACAGTTGAGAACAAAAACAGCTGGTTGCTCATTGTGTTTTTTCTCTGCACACAAAAGCAAGCGCGCACGCCCACCAACTGACGACTGCCGTGATTGGCCAATGGCAGCAAATGAGCTTGATAGAGTGGTGAAAACCGGTAATGTAGGAAACCGTTAATTTTATAAAAACACATTTGTATTATATTATGGAAAACCATTTCTTGAACGTAATTTATGCGTTATTAGGAAGGCATATTAAAATATTAAGCGTAACAATTATTGTAACAACTTCCTTAAAACTCTTAAATCTTATTATGGGCGTGATGACAAGCATTAAAAATGTCAATGGTCACATAATAATCTAATTCCTTTTTAAAATTGAACAGGTACATATATTACGCATTTTACAAATATACATTGTTAGTTAATTTGGACGTATGGGAGTGTTTTGCTTCATCAGCATCTGAATAATCTTCATCCTTAGATAAACACAAGTTTTTCAAAATTTCTGATGGTGATGGCATATTTTTATCGGATGGAATGGAGTCAATGAAATCTTCTAAGTTTGCATTAAATAATTCAGCGCCGCTAATTGTTGAATTATTATTTGTAGGAGCAGAATCATAACTAGTGCCAGGAACTGGTTCACAATTATTTTCTTTAAATGCTTCATTTAGCAATGTAAAGTTTTCAGATTCCATGTCCTCTAATGATAACTTTGCCCCTCGTCGTGCCAGTTCTGCATTAGCCTCCGATACCTCAAGATAATTTTGTTTTTCGTAATTGTTGTGCTCTAAGCTATTAGCAAGATATTCATTTAATATATTGTCAGTCACTTTCGATGTAGATTCTTCGTCCGTATTCTTCTTTCTCAATTTTTCTACAAGATCTCCAGTTTGTCGCACAACTGTTCCTGGGGGTTGAGCCTGGCATTTGTGAGTTCTCTGTGATACCTATAAATAAATTATAGATAACATTTTTTTTTTCATAACATCTTAGATGAATTTACTTACTAAAAATATTTTGGACAATTAAACTTTAAAGATACTTGCTTTATATCGAAAGCTTTTATCACATGCCGTGCATTTATAAGGCATGACGCCTGTGTGGATACGACGGTGTACTAAATATGAAACTCTTTGACGGAAACATTTACCTGAAAAAGTAATAAAAGTTATAATTCTATTTAAAATAGTTGTGTATCGTATCATGTAACATTTTACGTTTAGTTCGTTGAGTTCACGTTACAACTCACCACAAGTCTCACACGAAAATGGCTTTTCCCCAGTGTGAATTCGTTGATGATTGTGCAAGGTCGATAATTCTTTGAAAGATCGGCCACAGTAGCTGCATGTGTGAGGTTTTTCATCATTATGGTACAAAAGATGTTTATGATAAGATTGTTGAAATGTAAACGTCTTATTGCATTGAGTGCAAGCGTACGGAGTTTCACCTGCAAATAAAAATAAACAAATGAGACTCAATTTTGGCAACTAGTCGTCCTGAATGTTCTCTTTCATAATTTTGTATTTTTATTATCTTTATATATACCATATTAGGCCATTTGAAATATCTATTTACTGCCAATTTTATAATTAAAGCTGAAGCAATGTCTTAATTTTTGTACTCTTTGCAAGATCTGTCTAAAGAGTTCACAAAATAGGCAAGTTTGGTTAGCAATTGTGTTGTCATTTGCGTGGGATTGGCAAGTACTTTAAAATTAAAATACTAGTTTATAATAATGAATTTAAAATAGTTGTGTTATTTTTGGTTAGTATGAATTACCTATTCCAATATTTTAACCTGTATGTAAGCGTTTGTGTTTCTTCAAGAAATATTTTGTTGTAAAACATTTTCTACAAACATCACATTGCCACTGTTTACTATCATTCCTGTTAAAACTAACTGGATCGTCATCGGTCGATTTTTTCTCTTCTTTACTTTTTTCTATAACTGTTTCAGAGTTACAAGGTCCAAATCCATAATGCGCTACTCTTAAATGGACCATTAACGACCCGCGCATCTTGAAATTTTTCGGACACAAGTGACAATGGTAACGCGTAGAATTTATATTAGAATTATCATCAATATTATGAATCAAGCATCTATGCATTCTTAAAATATCGACATCGACAAATTGCAAACCACAGACGTTGCATGTAGTATTTGTTTGTGTTAACGATGTTTCTGTTTTTACAGTTGATGCATAAATAGAACTGCCGGCTTGCATACATTCTTCTAGTGGCTGCGCTCGCGATATATCTATAACAGGTAATGTATTTACAGATATCAGTGGCAGCTTCGGAAATATCTTTACAAATTTAACTGGGGCATTTGCTGAAGACAGAGTTTTATTTTTAGAAGTACACGGTTTAGCTCTCTTTTGCGGAGTTTTGTTCGTTCCTTGATTTTCATTTCTTGGTTTTAGTTTTGCTTCTAATGTTTCACTTTGTTGTGCACTGTCTACTTTTGTTATAATTTTAACGTGAGTAAATAGGTGTATAGTAAGCTTATCCAAACCACATACTTCATCTTGGCAAACGGGGCACAAAATTTTGTTTGTTGAAACAAATATAAGTCTATCTTTTAATGATTGCACAGAATCGAAAACTCCGGTATGTGAACATATCGGACAAGGTAAAAATGCAGCATCTGCACTCATGGAAACAAGAAATTCGTATATTACTAGGAGTTAGGAACGTTTGCCGATGGGCACAATCGCGAGAAACTAAAGCTCCGATGCGGTATTTTTGGAGTTCCACGTACTGGTTCTTTTGGCACCATTTCAAAATATTTTACGAAACAATCCATTCATCCAAGTGTTAATACTAGCTGTTTTTTTATGTTTATATATATTTTTAAAGGGTTTTTATTACTAAAGAACTAAAGCTGTTTTTATAATATTTTTAAGCTGTAAAAGTGCTGTGGTGCATAAAGGAGTAGAAAGGAATTTTAATTAAATTTATTACACTCTACTCTCGTTCCATTACTTTACATTCAAATATTCTCGAATTATATGAATTTTGCAATTTCGATTACCTAATAAATATGTCTTTTTGCTGTAAAATGCAGTTAGAGTATAGTAGTTTCAATCACAATCTTTATATCATACATAACTCGGTATTGTTCATATTATATTATTAGTTTAGCTTAATATTTTCGGTTTTCCGGTGTTTGATGCTTAAAGTTTTAAATAAAATGTCATTGTCAGCTGTCTTTTGTTTTGAAAAATGGCGGCATGTTTATTTGGTGAACGAATTGTTTTTATTGATCTAATATTTTTCGGGTTGCTTTGGTAACTTTAAATTATTTTTTCATTGTGTTTTAAACAACTATTACTGCAATTATTAAATTGTATTTACAACTATGACGACGAGTGCTTCGGTACCCCGTTACATGGAGCAACTCCTTGAACAACTTGGCTGGAACCAAGGAACAAGAATTCCTCTTGCAAATCCTAATAATCAAGTATTAGAAAATCTTCTAATAGACAGGTATTTTACATGAGCATTTAGAAATATGTTGGTACTATAATATTTTGTTAATATGGGAACTAATTACTTTCAGACAAAACGAGATCCAGCGTCTCAAAGAGTCTCTTATTCTTCAAAATCAGAAGCGAGATGATCTTAAAAAGTATAAGAATAGTGGTCAGACTGAATATCAAGAGAATACTGTAAGTTATTAGGATTTTATTTATGAAATTGCTTACTTATCATGGTGTACCAATGTGTACCATTATAAATTCATCACATAGCATGTGTATGGTGCCGTTTGAGATTTGAAGGTACAGGGATATAGTGACGTAAAGTCGAATGACAAAAAATCAATTCAAATATCTTGAGAATTGATTTAGGGACAATGATTTAAGAACAAATAAAAAAAAAATAAGAAGTATTTGATTATTATGTTATTAAGGTACTAAAAAAACTACACAACAAATAAAATATCAACATAATAATATAATACAATAATAAGTATCTACTTATTTATTATTATTTATATTATATATAATATAATAATAAATTACCACTTATCTACTACTGTAATTTTTATTTAAAATTAAAACTCCTAAAATATTGTTTGTTTTTGGTATATTATAAGAAATTAAATATTTCTTTATGTAAACTGGTCTAGAGATTAGTTCAAAATAGAATGTGTGCAATGTAAAAATTTAAAATGTCACAGTACCCATCCTATGTGAAATGGACTATAGTGTACTTATTTATAGCATAGTATAATAAGACCAAGTGGGGCAACTGAATGAATGGAGCTAAGCGTGACCTGACAGTGGTGGGAATAAAATGGCATTTATCTAATACATGAAAAGGCAATGTGTTTTTGAATTTCTTATTTCCAATTTCAGCTTCTTCTATTCGCCCTCAAGAGCCAATTGGAGCAAGAAGTGAAGCTTTACAGTCTTGCAACAACAGAAATTGAAAGTCTTGCTCGGACCACTGCCCATGCTACTAAGAAAAGCAAAGAAATCAATAGTCGCATTGATAGATTTCAAGGTACACAATCTATCAACATGTCTTTATAAACTGTGAGTGATGACCAAATAAGAAAAACTCTGAAGGAATGACTTGAAAACTTATTTTTGTCCTTTCATCTATGGATTCATGATATTCGTACTGAGAGTATGAGTCTTTCCCTGAATTTGATATCAAAAATATTTTTATAATCTAAGCACATATTAAAAGAGATGGGACATTGAGAGAGAATTCAGGGCACTGGTGCAGCAGTGAGAAGTAACTTGTTGGCCCGAAGGTTTGCTCATAACTCGGATCAAGTTAAGATCACGCTATTCAAAACATACTGTCAGCTATACGAGCAGAGCAGAGCAGAGAAACCTATATGTGCTTTAACAGTACCCAGAAATCCCTTAGTGCCCTTAGAGTTCAATGTAATTAGGGTTTTCGAGCACTGTTGAGGTTGCCCTCCTTCTGTAGCGCATCACAAATGCTCACTGAGCCGCGCACAGATGGATTTTTTTACACTGTTAGAAGAGCAGCCTCGCGGATGAGCAGGTTGCGGACCAGCATCAACAGTATTCTAGAGGTGTTTGCCTGTGTAACCTGATTCCCCCATACACAAACATGTCAACCATTTAATGCCTATTATTATATATATTATTATATATTTCATTTATTAAGTACATTTGTTTTAAATTTTTTACTATTGTTACTAACAGTAGCTGCAGTGGCGTAGCATGGGAGTGCGGAGGGAGCCATAGTCCCGGGCGACACACGACAAACTAATCAAATTTAAAAAAAAATTAAGATTAGAATATAAATTCCACTATTTGAGAAAACGATATTCTGAACGACACAAAGATGGCAATGGCAGGCGAACATGAATGAAAATAGTTTATTTGTACCATCACAAACTACAAAATTCTTGTTACATATATTAATAAGTACTAGTTGTATTAGCTAATTATAGTTTGTGAGGAAGCTGGAACATAAGAACAAAATCGAGCCGAGCCTGCCACAAGGAACTACTTTTGTAATCGTGAAAACGGAGGGGGCAGCAAATATAAAATTGTTCCTGGGCGGCAGAAATCGACGCTACGCCACCGTTAAGTTACACCGTGTTAAGATGTTTGTAATACTAACCAGTGGACCATATATCTGTCTGAACAACTTATATTTTTATTATTCATATTGAGATAATGAATGCTTCTAGGCAGCATTGCACGCCTTCTGAAAAGAGCTGATGACCTGAAGAAGGAAGTGTGTGGTGAGCGTGGAGCGTTGCAAGAATGGCGTGCAGCTATTGAGCATAATTCTGGAGATATTATGGCTATTGAACAGTTCACTAAGAATGACGTTTCTATGGCTAAGTTATGAAATTTTAACTTTTTATGGTTGCATAGTTAAATTGTACTTATGTATAAATTATTTATGGTATTTCTTGTTTATATGATACACAACTCATTAGGAAACAGACTTCCATGGAAGATATTTTGTGAGGTGCTAACTACTTAAAGTGTTTTCAATTTGTTTCAAAGTAATGGAAGGTACAATAAACGATTCCAGGCTCTTGAGACGAAAAGGCAGAAATTGAAAGTGGAACATGACCACATGAGTGATCGTCTCAACCAAATGGTGGCCAATCTTAGTGCAGAGGAGAGAGCTTGCGAAAGGATTTCTGTACAAGTAAGAAACTTGCATACTATTCAAGAACTTATCAAAGAATTAAACATTTAAGACCTAGTTTCCCAAAGTGGTCCCTACTCCCCTGTGGGCGCTGAAGAATCCTAAGGTCGTCGATCGTTGATATCCGTTTTTGACCTAGTTTAAGAAATCCGAGACCCAATTTGCAAAGGTCAGTGGAAAGCCAATAAGAGGGAAGCCTGTTTAAGAGGCTTGCCTGCCAGACCCTGTCAAAGGTTTTAGAAATGGGGGGTGCTACCACATTTGAAAAAAAAACCTGAATTATCTACATAAAGTACACTACATAATATATAACTTTTTTCTTGTGATATATTGTGTTAATTAAAAAAAAATACGTGTTTTCAATTATTTTTTGTGGTGGTGGGCTTTGATATTTTTTTATCTTGCCTAAGTGGGCGGTGAGCTAAAAAGTTTGGAAACCTATGATTTAGGACTACATTGTAGTTTGAAACTTGTGTTTGATAATGAACCAAATCATTCCAGGTATGATTTTTTTTATATTTAATGATCTTGGTAGAAATTACAGTTTAAAATGTGCATATAATTTTCTCGTACTGAGGAAACCTGTTCTTATAATTCAGGTAATAGAGGGCATAGAACAAAGGAGGCAGATGATGACAATGTGGACTGCAGCAGTGGAGAATTTACGACAGCGCGATACGGATATCAGACACGTGCGAGAGGTAATTAATTAATCTCTTATATTTAACATTAAAATGTTAATGGGCGTAGTTAAGCTTCTGATTTGGAACTCCTTTGGTCTCCTAGATAACCTTAGCTCCAAAGCCCAGAAGACCAAGATTATACAGATTACAGTTGTCCTTGCTCTTCTACAACCCTGCAGATCCAACGGACAAGATAATTTACATTGTATAGATACAAAGTGTCACCTTGTTACAAGAACAAATTGACCTGTTCTCTAAATCTGTGATGTCATGTAACTTAGTTTACTTTATTGCCAAATTAATTATAAATCAAATAACGGGCACACTCATAGCCCCGCACTAGGGAAATCCTGTGTCGCGGATGCCATGGATACACATGTTATACATCGTACTGCATCCATAAAAAAATACATCCCAAATTAAAAACGATATCAAATTTTTGTAGAAATTTTTCAAACGTTGATTTACAAAGTCGCATAACGTCTAAAATCTCAAACTCATGTAGAGAAAGCCCTCTGTGAGAATTGCAACAATGTGTTATCTCTAGAACATCGAGATATGTACTCATATAACACGTTGGTCTGGCAAACGGGCGATATAACCATAAATTACAATGTACGCCATACACATATTTTTCCTGCTCCGGGAATCGAACCCGGGACCTGTGGGTGGCTGACCAGTAGGCAACCGTTCGACCACAGAGGCAGTCAATTATATAATAATATTGCATATCATTACCTTGTGACTGCTCAGTTAATCCATCAAAAATTTGATCTGTAATCTCTAACAGACTTAATTTACTACATAATACAATATATTATTTTGTTTTAGGATTACGCAGTATTAGAAGAAGAAGCCACCAAAATAGCAGAAGAATGTCGTGAACAGCAAACGTTCTGCCAACAGCAAAAAGCTAACAATGCAGAGGCCGCCAAAGCCAACGCCGCTTTCGCAGCCAAGATGGGCACCATACGCATGTCCTGTCAGAAACTTGTAGAATATAATGTTACTTTGGATAGCGAGGTAACTCATTTATCAATTTTTTTATGATTGCATTGACGCGGCAAAAAACTCGTGCACCTGGTTGGTAAGCGACACGCCTATCCGTAACAGTTCCAGTGCCACTCAGAGCTTTAAATCATAAGATTTGAGGGGTCACCTTAAGGCATAACGTTGACAAGTCTCATGTGCCTGTAATCAGTGGCGTAATGTCGATTTCTGCCGCCCGAGGCAACCTTAAATTTGCTGCCTCCTCTATTTTCCCAATTACAAAAATAGTTCGTTTGGGCAGCCTCGGCTCTATTGTGTTTTTATGTTCGCCTGCCGTCGCCACCTTTGTGTTGTTCTGGTTAACGTTTTCTCTAGTGGAATTTATTTTCTAATTTTAAGCAAAAAACAATAATATTGACTATTTAAGGCTCGGCCGCGCTAGCCGCCGCACTCACCCCCCGCGCTTCGCCAGTGCCTGTAATTTCACTAGCACCATTAAGGCGCGTGTACGTGGCAAAGGTATTCGACGTATCTGCTACAGAAAAGATGAGAATGGTCTTGTACACGACAAGAACTTTGTCGCATCTAGCCACGAAAACATGTCGTGTCGTTGTAGACACGAAAATCGGACAGACGTGATCAGGGTAAAATGCGTCAGTGCATTACGAGTCTTCCAGGTAGCTGTCGTGTTACTACCGACTGTGGGAAGAAATATGTTGAGTTTTAAGCAACACCCGTCCACGCGCATATACGTTCATTTACTGACAATGCCTCCCCCGCCCCATACAATAGCGGCAAAGCGCGACCTGTCGCAGTAAAACCGGTACGCAGTAATATTATTGACATTACTGCTTGGCGGCAGAAATAGATGTGTTGGCTGTACTTGTCTAGACGAACTGTCACGAGGAGTTCTCCTGCTAATGCTGCTATATTGTGATAAGCTTTGGACACGCTTTGTTGCGAAATTTTAACGAATGAATTTATGTATTGACGACAGTGAATATTGATGTTGAAAATCTACACAAGTGTCGCCATTTCAGGATCCTAAACCTCTTGTCAGTCGTAGACGGATTTGTAAAACGGCCTTTGACTTCGACTGAGCAAAAATGGTGAGCTTAGCAAGTTTTTCGTATTTACAACACGAACGTTCCCTAATTTTAAACATGAAAGTACCAAGAAATGTCAACGTTTAATTTAATTTCTTGCTGCAATTTAGGCTTACTGTGTTGTAATCACGAACAATTTGATGAGTTCGCCATTTTTGTTCAGTCGAAGTCAAAGTTCGTTTTATATTCGCACTTTAAACCAAATACCACAGTAGAATAAGAATAAATGGGGCAACTCCCGCCTGCTTGACGCATCAACACCTATGCTACTGCGAGCGTAGGGTTGTCACGTTATTATTTTAGTACCTGTACATACAGGTTGTAATTATAATTTGAAAAATAGAAGTTATTTATCACGGTGTTTTCGTGCTATATCGAAATAACGTTTGTTAACTTCAATACGTACATATTGATATTTTTATGGTAGTTGGTTACTAAATGGGAATGAAATGCGAGTTTGTTACATGTAATGATGTATTTATAAATAAAAAAAAAAACAAAAAATTTACCGAAAATTAACTTTATATTTTAGTTGTACCATTTCACGCTTTTTAGATCTGTGTTTGTTAGTAAAGTATATAAGTTCAAACGTGCAAGCGTCTATATATGTTACAGCTTTTTAGTGCAATTCTTGTATTTTGAACAGGTGAAAAGTTTGACTCGCGTGCTAAGCAACATGCAGAGTCAGTTAGAGAAGCTGCACATGGAAAACCGACGCATCATGGACATGCAGCATCTCAAGGACCGCGCGCTCAGCGTTATAAGCCAGAAGGTAACCATCTTCTCAAACACATTCTTTACGTCAAAATGGACGCTTCGTTAGTTCTGCAGGTGGACTATTGATATGATAACCTCCGTATAGAGTACTAAAAAAACCGATCTTAAAAGTTATTCATCCCCTAGTTTGCCACCCCTAGAAGTGGAATATTTTCTTCAAATTTAAAAGGGACCACTATTGAGGTACCCTCTTTCCAACAAAAAAAAATCAAAATCGGTTCACAAAAACCGGAGTTATCGCGGAATATACATACAAAATAAGCTGACGGGCTGACCCCGTATTTTTTTGGTTTGTGTTTTAGAAAGCGAGAAGACTTTATTTTATTGAATATAAGCATTTATTTACAATCCTACCTGTTGGACCGAGAAGATATGAACGAGGATGATCCACGCTTGCCTAGAAGCTGGGCTCTTTGACTGTCAAATATTTTCTGGTATTATTTTACGGGAAATGCAGAATACGACAGAGTTCCAAACGCCGTCGTACAAATTTGTGAATTACTAAAACAAGACCGAAGCGGTGCGGGCGGAACTAAATTATGTATCCTCTGAAAGAAAGCTGCATAACGATGATGTTCGATTTAGGTTTGCCTCTTTGAGGTAGTTGGCCCTCTAGCGAAGCCAGAGCATCCAATCGACAGCGGGCAGTCTCGTACCAAAAGTCGCAATAGTAAAAATGCAAACTTGAGCTCGATAAAGATTACGTATTTAACAGCTCCGATGTAAAGTATCGTCCGACTTCTAACTTGGACACAAGGATCGATCGGAGTGATCGGAGATCGGTACGGATACATTTCAAAAACTCGGAGGTAGTAGAAATGTACTCCGTCGGATAAAATATACACCCTTGTCTGTTCGAAGTTTTGTATCTCACAAAATTGATGTTGGTCCCCTCGAGCATGGACTTGTCAGATTCACCCTATCTACCATCACTAATATGACAGTCACTGAAATTATCTCTTTTTCGAACGGTAGGAATAACTTTGTTTCTTCCTCGATCTATTGTTACGAACAAAATTATATGCGCTATGGTATTTTATTTTTCAGCTTCAAGAACTGAAAGAAAAACTGGCGGATTCTAACGACAAAACCAAATCATCTGAGAAACGAGCTAAAGAGCTTGAACAGATGCTAAATGTAAGCCATTTTACTTTTTATACAATCTCTTAATTTTGCACACTAATGTAAATTCATAACACGGTCTTGTATAAAGCGGTCACATTACTTCTCTCTCCAAGCATCCTAGGGAGACAGAAATACTCACTCGTATTGATGGAGTAAAGAAGACTTTAAAATTACTTACGAAAATCAATTTAAATTAAACAAAATATGTTCCCATGTTGCGCGTAACGTAAGTCAACGTAAACTCAGTAATTATTTACCTGTTTAGAAAACAAACAGGTGCAGCACGTGCTGCCGAATCCTCAACCTCTGATTTGTTAATTAGCACAGTATTTGGCAAGTGCTTTACTTAAGGCCCGTTCCTGACGACCTTGTTGTGACCTGATAAAACATCCGCATGCGCAAAAACTACATCAATTTATGTTGGATGCTGATGCACACGTTTAAAAATATGCGGATGATCCGCGGTTGCGGATCTGGATGCAGATGTTTGCAACATACCTATTTTACACCACTGATTTACATTCCTCGAAGTCTTCGTTCAATAAGTACATGGTTTTTAGGAAGAAGAGCGTTATGCAACTCAAATGACAGCGAACGAACAGCGAGCCATGCATTGTTCATTCATCGAGCAGCAAAAGCTGTTAGCGCTCACTAATGAGGAGAAACTCTTCAAAATACAGCTGAAAGGTGAATACAATTTATTTACTCAGACTTATATTTGTGTGGTTTTCTGTGCACATAAAATGTTGGAACGAGCAATTTTCGACAACGACGACGACGAAACGACTTGCGCTACATGTGGGGAAGTAAATCTTCATCTTGCTGCGTCAGCCAAGTCAAGCCAGCGATTCCGAAGTACATTGTGTTTTTCCAAGACACCAGAAAAAGACGTTAATCGCGTGTTAGTTTTAGGCTTATATAGTACAATTTGACAGTGCAGGCTATAGGACGGTTTCCTAGTTGTGTAGTGTGCGGTGGCGATTGTTGTTGCTGGTATTATGCGGCAATGGTAGTTCTTTAACCCCATTTATAACAGCCCCAGTCATTACATACCAGCCCTTCTAACTTACTATACTACAACTGAATGCTACTTTTATCATTGCAGCATTAAAGACTATTATGGGTAAGCTGGACGCGAAGGAGGTTGAGTTCGAGAGAAAGCTGCAGACTCAGAAGGAATCACTTTACATCATCGTAAGTGTTTATATATCTTACTAGATCCACATTTTTCTATTCTACTGGTTGCTTGGTACTTGGTACTTGGTGCAACGGGCTGGTATCCGCAACTCGACGACAAAGCGCCTATTTTGCGTTATTCTACTGGTAATTTTGATTTTAATGAATGCTCTTCTCGTTCTGTTTTGTTTCTTGTTTTGGGTCCTGTAATGTAATATCTGTCTAATAGAGTTAGTAGTAGATAGTTACAACCTTGTGTTTATAAGTTGTAGATCTACTAGAATGTTATGTTAGAAATGGGAAAATTTCAAATATCAACAAAATAAGGTCAAGTTATTGTAATATAGTCGTGATAATTTTTCAAGTCACTAAACCGAGAAAATAATTCTCTTTGTTTTTTTATATTAAAACCATCTAGTATATAACCAGATCTAGAGTCGAAATAATGCTCGTTCTACACAGAGGCGGCCGCGGGTGCGCTCCGGACTAGGAATTTTTTATAATGCCACACTGAAACGCGCGGCGGCCGCGCGACATGGCGAAGCGGTGCAGGGCCGAACGCTATGACAAACATACGGACCGCGCGAACGCGAGGCGGGTGCGGGCGTGCGACTTGTATTCTATTTTGTTGCGCTAATAAAAGCAGAAAATGTTCACAGCGGTGGTTTTGACAGCGGTGTGGTTTATTCTTTATATTCTGTGTTGAAAATGGAACGTGGACGTTTTTGACGTCATACTGGCCGCCTTCGCATTCGCATTAAGGTAAGCATTCGCTTTCCGCAGGTCCGCCTCCGTAAAGCTTTACTCGCTGTACCGCCTTTGTGTGGCCTGAGCTTAAGGGCCATCCATCTCTGTCAATTCATCAGGCAAATGGGCCTTATATCACTTTTAGATATCAAATCTTGTTTGTACTGAAATCACAAATTAGAAAGTTGAAATAGTACAGCGCCAACAACTCACTTATGTCTCCGTGTATTCCATTAATATTCTGTATTTATTGTTAGAGGTAATATCTCTAACTATGGGGGGCTGTTCCATTCGGTGGTGTGGGAAAAACAGCAAAACATCTAATTCCAAAACAAACTGAATCACATTTCATCGGTAATTGAATATTAAATATGTAATTTTTCAGTTATCGTCCATTATACGAAAGCTCAAGTTAAATTGGTCGATTTCAAGTTAACAATTGACGCCACCCGTCAATTGTTTCGAATTCGGGCTGGACGCTCCTATTGGCCAATTGGAAAGGAAAAATGGGAATTCGAAACAATTGTCACCGTATTGATATGGCACAATAGTTTTCAAACAAATTAAATGACATTTCGTGTCAATTTCTGGTTAAAAACTCGATGATTCAAACCTTTCTACATAATTGTCCAAATTCAGATTGCTATATGAAATCATGCAATTCGTCAACTTCAAAATCATGGTTTGTCTTTACATACGTATACATACAATTAATCATTATCACCAAAATCATCGACTCATTACTGCTAAGGAGAGCGTTCTAGCCACTGTGGCTGGCTTTCGGCAGACAGGTTTCATTACGAAGTTTTCTTTCACTGTTAGCGAGAGTAGCGAGAGGTATTGCTACCAAACATCCACATATCGTTGTCTGTGAATATCTCGTATGTATTTTCCATATAATTTTCAGGTCGAAAATTAAAGTGTATTGTAAAATATAGTACCTAAGTAAGCCATGGGTGCGTAATGTTTTAACTTACCGTCTCTCAAGCAGAGGCCGTGGTTTCGAATCCGGGCTCACACCTCAGAGTTTCTCGGACTTTATGTGCAAAATTTAAAATTTTGTTATGAACTTTTCATCGTGATCACTCCTGCACGTCGAGGACGGTATACAATCCTCGGAAAACGTGTGAAGTCCCAACGCGCATTGGGCCAGCATGACGGACTACGGCCTAAATCCTCGCCTGAGAGGAGAACCGTGCCCAGTAGTGCGACGTATAAATGGGTTGATGATAATCATGATGATGAAAATATAGTAAACCAATAACATTTATTTTTTATTTATTGTATAGGAAAGCCAACATGATGCATACACAACAATGTTCAATAGCAAGTAAATTGAAAAAAAATCCTACCAAATCAGTCAATTGTTGTTATCTGAAACGATAATAATAAAAAAACTATTTCATTGATAATTGAATTGAATAAATAAGCCATTTGGTGCTTTTTTCGATAAACTTGCTTTTGAATATCGTCAGAAAAATCTTGTTGAAATTATCCCGTGCAGTGCAATATAACTGTTACGTAAATTGTCACTCATCCGCACCGCGCGCCGCTTCCTCGGGATATTTATTTTCTTCACTCAGTGAAGGGTAGACCTGTAATAAGATTTTAAATAAATAATGTGGTACAAAACAGATCACTCAGAATTTTGAATAAAATATTTGTAATAAGCATTTTAATTGGATAAATTGTACCATTTTCAGTGCTTTATTACTTTCATAATATATTTAAAGCAAAAGGTTTATAAAATTTTGCTTCGATTAAAATTAGTAAAAACAAACTATGTATCGAGGTCTTAGGTTTTCACGATTGTTACATATAGGAAATGAAACTAATTTTCGGATTTAAATCACTTTATTTGTTGTCGAAGAAACCAACGTTTCGGGCCTTTTACAGGTCTCATCAACCGTGACCACGGGACCTGAAAAGGACCCGAAACGTTGGTTTGTTCGAAAAAACAAATATACGCCATTTAAATCCGAAAAGTAGTTTCATTTCCTAAATAAACTATGTAGAATTGCGTAACTGAATTTTTCACTCTAAGACAACGTAATGTAACTAATAATTAAAGTCACAAGACCGCCACAGGGTTTCGAAATGCCGATTTGTCAATTGGGAAGCAACTGATCCCCACTGGACTACCACATCAAAGCCTAAGATTTTGACCTAATATTTAATATTTCAGGTTTACCAAGTGGAAACTATAGGTGCGCGTGTGGCCCATATGGAAGGAGCGCAGGCCGAACGAGAATGCAACGACGTACTTGTACAAAAAGAGGAAAGGTATGACCAACAAAAATCCAAACTGTGTTACTCCGTCTGTTACCTTTTCACGTCTAAACCGCTGAATCAAATTTGATAAAATTTTGGTAAAGAGATAAATGGGACTTAGGAGAAGGACATAGGCTACTTTTTGTCACGAAAACAAATGTTAAAGGGGATGAAATACGGGATGAAAGCTTTTACGGAGAACCAATGAAATCTCTAGTGAGTAGTAGGTACAGTAGGCTATTCGAAGTAACAGCTACATGTAAAAATGTATCAGTTATTATTCTGCAAATTGGTGACAGTCATCAATTATGTAAGTCCATATTAATATTTTGACAATATTATTAATCTTTAAATGTAGTTGATTTCATTTATGTATTTTGAACAATAGTTCGTTTTGATATTTTGATGATTTAAATTTCTAATGTATTTATATCCCTATAATCAAATGGTTGCTATAGTAGATTGTACAATAAGCGCATAAAACGCGTCATTTTTTTTTTTAAATTGATTTAAAACAAAAGTATGGTAGACATGATTAAATAATTATCAGCAACACTGCGATACTAAAAAAGTCCAAAAAGCAGCAGCACTTGAACGCTAAAACATTCAATAACCTGATTATGATTCGTTAATTAGACTGTAACATTAATGACATTGACAACTGATTTGTCAATATATATATCATGGCATTGGCCACTAGCCTTTTAGACAAAAATTACATACAAATCCGTTGCGTTACATAGTATAAAAAATCCTTAACGATTTTCTGGAAATTGCAGGTAAAAAAAATTGTTTTTAATACTTTTGAGAGCTCTTTACATAAAAACCAACAAAAGCACCACTAACGGAAGAACTTTTTATAGGCAAGAAACATATTTTTTATAAGCGCAAGATCGAATTCTGTTCGCGAAGAATTTATTGTAAATTGTCTACCAGACTGAAGCGCGTGTGTTCTCTACATGCGGCGCGCGTGGCCCTGCTGGAGAGACACTCGACCAAACTCCATGACGACATGCGCAAGTACGCCAGGGACCTCGAACTAAAGGGGCAGGAGCTCGAAGTGAAGGTATAATAAATCGTATCTATTGTGCCTTTCATCATTATCCACAACCAACTTCACTCACTGTGGGTATAGGTCGCCCGTAGCATGGGCCATCCAGAACGGTCCTTCGGTGTACCATTTAGTACAGCTCCTTGTGAAAGGGTTCATCTAGGGAAGTACTGTCACCTTACCTATTTCTGCCGCCAAGCCGTAAAGTGAGCATTCCGGTTTTGAGGGGTAAGGGAGCTGGTGAAGTTACAAGTCAACTTATCGATGCCTTACTTTCTCAAACTCGTCTCTTATAAACAGTGATTGTTCAGGAGATGGCAAAACTTGCTATTTATTTTAAAGAGATTTTTTTTTTACTTTAAGAATAGGTAAAACCAATGTGTAAATATGAAGGAAATGTGATGTGAAATCAGTCTGCATTTGTATATACAATCCATTTTTTGCATTTATAACTTTGTGCTTTAATATACGAGTTTGAGAAAGTAGGGCGACGTTATGTCTCAGTATGATCGGCGCAGTGGCAGCTTAACGCCAGGCACAAAATTAGTTGGTTCACTTGGTATGGAAAAAAAAATCTACGACCTTGAAGATATCGACTACTCATCTTGTTGCAGTACCGTGTTAGCCACGCTTCGTTTATCGATTTACTCCAACTGTCAACACACCGCTTCGCAATTATATTCTTCCCAACTCTGTTTTAGCTTCGTTATTTGATCTCCTGTACTCCATAGTGTTTTATTTATTATAAGTGTTTACACGGTATACAGTTAGCAAACTAATGCGCCGTGAAAACTAAACTAACAAACAGAAGAGGTTTCTAATCGATTCCCTAACATCCATTATCTCAGTATCTCAACAGCACACGGCCGCCCATCACCGCGCAAGCAGATCGTGTTATTATTATTAATAACACGATCCCTAACCATATCCCGAAACCACCCGTTTCATTTACGGCCTAAGCATATTCATAATTTTTTTATGACACCAAGTGACGGAACTAACAAATCGTGCGCCTGGTGGTAAGCGACACGCCTGTCCATACCAGTTTCAGTGCCACTCAAAGCTTTAAATCGCAAAGATCTGAGGAGCACCGCCACTACATCATCTTGAGACGTTTAAAAAGTCCCACGTGCCTGTAATTGCACCAGCACTTTTACTCTTCAAAATCAAAACGTTAACATTACTACTTGGCGGCAGTTAATAATAATAAGGGACACACTCAACATAGCCCCGCACTAAGGAAACCCTATGTCGCGGGTGCCATGGAAACACATAGAAAACCCACAAATTACACCCATATTCACGAGAGAAATAAATGTAGCCCTTACAGATATCTCTCCCGGCACCGGGAATCGAACCTGAAACCTCTGCGCGGCAGCCCGGCATGGTAACCGTTCGCCCACACAGGCAGAAGTAATACTATGCTTAGGAGGACAAACACATCAAGACCTTTGATCTATGTCAATTTAAAAAAATATCATTTGTTTTTTTTCGACCACTGATTGTACTAATAATAACCCATAAGCTTACCTTTAGTTATCACTAAATATCATGTCCCTTTTTTTACAGAAAAGCCGTCTAAAAACAGCAATTCTGAACGTAGAAGGTGGCGAGAAAGACATCCGGAGTGAGCGCGAAGCATGGCGCAACGACCGCGTAGAAGAAGCACTGATGAGACTACGCGTGACTCATTCTACACGTGCCGTAGCTGGCTACGATGACACAGCCTTCTCGCTCGACAAACAACGTTTGCAGTTAGAAGCGGTAAGTGTCCTAAAATAGTGCAGATGCTTCATTCTGAAACAATGTTTAGAGAATCTGCGATATTTTTTTACTCCGTAAACACACATTTATCCCTAGTAAAAATGCCCAAAATAATGCAGTGTTTTTTCAAAAATGTGCCAAATTATTTTGCGTACCCATTTTTGAACATTTGCGCTGTAATATGTATGTATATAATTCATCAGCTGTAAAAGTTGACAGAAATCGAGTTTGATTCGCTAAATGCGAAAGCAAAGACATTGAAAAGAAAGTAGTGAGAATAGTATACCAGGATCGGGTGAAGTGGTTGTCTCAAATTGTTATGCTATAATGACTTTATAGGCAATGAACGAGCGGCTTGTAGAAATCGCGGCGCGACGCGACTTGTTCATGGTGCAGAAAAATGCGCTGATTGGGGACTGCGGTAAGCTGCGGGTCGATATCCGCGAGCGGCAACAGCGGATCGAACAACTTATGAAGAGGTACTTTCATTGTAATATTGATTTCAATGGTGTCAATCCATGCATAGCGTACTACTGCGCCGCGAGACGTTGTACACACGTTTTGGGCAATGCTTAAACGTAACACAAATATACACATTCAAATCTGAATACTTAATAGATTCAGGAATCACTTTGCGGAAATTCATATTACTGAAAATGTATGTAAATAAATAACGCATACACTAGGCATACCCTGTTTCGCGAGAGCCATGGATACACACATAGAACACCACAAATTACACCCAAACTCATGAGAGAAATAAATGTAGGTCATGCAAATATTTCTCCCGGCCCGGGAATCGAACCCGGGACCCCTACGCGGGAAACCAGCATGGTAATCGTTCGGCCACGGAGGCAGTTCAGTTAAGTATTAATTTGCTACTCCGCAAACCCAGTGAAGGTTAAATCGTGCAAAATAGCTGCGCTTGTGTTGTGTTGGATATTTATTTCATGCAGTTATTTTGCAACCCTCCCTCCGCATAAAATTAATAAAATAAATAACTCTAGTTACAAACACCACCATTCCAAATTCGCAACTTCGAGATGACAGGATAAAATTAAAAATAATAATCAACGTTGATTTTAAATTAAAAGAAAGTGTTATTTGTTGCTTTGTGTAAGCAAATTCTCAAGTAAAGACTTAGGTAATTAAGGTAGCATTTAAGGCACGAAAGGAAACAGCTTATCACAATTCACTTTATCATTTATTTCCTTTTAAGCAAGTAATGTACATAATAGTTCGTTACTAAATTACAAAATAAAGAAGACAATTAGTACATACCTGTATAAATTAACAACTATATACGGCACCCACAGTATTCACAGTATTATCTCTAGCTAGAAAATTCGAACACAGACTGAATAAACTTTCCTCTGTGACCATACCATCAAGCTTCGCCCCACCACCGTTTTGGTGGGTTAACAGACTGTGATTTCATTGGTTAATGCTTTTGGTAGACCGATGCTTGATTGGTTGGCATTTCTTTTAGAAAGAGATTTAGATACTTTTAAATGTTATTATTGCTAAACTGAAATACAGAAATGAAAGGCAGACATTAATTTAGTCGTACTTTAAAAAAATATAATTGTAATATGAAAAACCTTTCAATTATAATAATAAGTTCGAAGCGATTACGTGCTTTAGGTATGACAATAATCGATACAAGTTCTAATTTATATTCGTTACGCTAACATTTGTAATGTATAATAATTTTATTTTCGGATTTTCGAATTTGGTTTTTCCACATAAACCAACGTTTCGGACTCTACAAAGGTCCACCATTACCGATTCAGAAAAATTTAATTTCATTTCCAATGCATAACAATCGCGTATACCAAAGAACTCGACGTGCCATTAATTATTGGAAAATAAAAATATACAAAACATCTTCGCGCCGCTACCCACCCATACCGGCAATGCCGTTTTGGTGGCTATAAAGGTCCCATGGTCTCAATTCTGCTGCTCAAATTTTCTTTAAACCACTGGCCATTGTAATTCCATTGAGACCCCATTCTATCTTTCAAAACTCCGGTTCAAAACACAGTAATGCTGACATTACTGCCTGGAGTATTGTGGTTGTCTATGTGTGGTCCATGGCACCCCCGCCACAGGTTTTCCCTAGTGCGGGGCAAATATTTTTAGATCTGCAAATTACGAATAAAGAGGCACAGAATAGAGACCATTACTAACTTTGTATTTACGAATCATTCGACTTCGACAACCCGAGGGTAGGGGAAATAGACCCTCTATTGAGATATGCATGTTTAGTGCTGAAGAGCACCTATCAAAGTGTACAACATAATGACGGTCTTTCAATCGTAATTTTACACCAATTGCTTTTTTATTTCTCAGATACGAAATATTCATCAATTCGCTGGGCAAAGATGAATCTGGACAACAGGTTTCTGTAGCTTACTTCAAAATCAAGGTTAGTCTTTGCCATAGATATAGAAAAAAAGGGGGAGATATGGTATGGCGGCGTAGTTCGTATCGCCTCGATATGGTCAAAGTGACCATATCGAGGTGACACGCCTACAAACATCGCCACAGTGACATGGCGATCGTTGTACATACAAGATCTCTCGTAAAACGTGAAAATGCCAAGTTGTAGCGATACACCTTGTAAAAATTGGAGTGAAAACAAAAATTTTAAAACCAGTGAGATAACATTCCACCGGCTATTTGCATTTTTTCTTACTATTTCTATTATTATTCAATGTTTTCTTTTTGTCTCCATAGAAATTTCTAGACTCAAATAATGTTCATTTACGAAGACTGATGTTTATCGACAATAAATTTTTACTGAAATGTTTGAATTTCTTACTATAATTTTTGTAATTAAAGTCCCTAAAATATCTAAGCGAAAAGCATTCACGTTAAATTGATTTCTTTTATTTTATTATTATTATTCCTAAACATTTTATTTCGAGTAACTTTAACACAACTCATATTTCGGACAACCGTTTCAATTTCATGTCAATTTGGATGTTGCTGTTGCTTGAAGAAAAATGTATGTGTTTTAGATATTTAAATTCCATTATACTCGTAGATTAAGTATTAGTAGAGTATTTTTAATTTTTAAGTTTTTCCAATGAGTTCAAAATAAAAGAAGGTTGGATTGAAGCTGCAGGAAAATCGAAAGATTGGTTTTCTTATTACTATTTCTGATTTTGTTTCAATTTCCATAACAAATGCATTTAAAAAATAAATAAAATAAAATCAGCTTTATTTTACTTGCGCATGCAAAATAAATTAGAAACAATTATAGAAAATTACATAAATCCTTCATAAAAAAAACAACATAATTTAATAAATTCGTTGATGGTTCGAGTTTACTCTTGACAGTGACAGCTTCACCAACCCGTGGTAACATATAATGGAAATTGACACTGGCGACGATCGCCATGTTTTTTATATTATTCTTATAAAACTGACACTGGTCCAAGCCTAGTGGCTGCCATTAAGAAAATAATAATAATTTATATTAATATATTAATTTTATAATACACCAGTACCAGTGTAGATATAGTATGAAAAATGGAATATTTTTTTTAATATTAAAAACAGCCACATGGTTTCCAACTATCGATTAGGTAGGACCACATCACTCGTTGAGTAGCGTCAGTTTAAAGTTAATAAGGTTAACAATTCACGGAGCGGTTTCCATCCGCGCCCGCCAGTGCTGCTAGACAGCGGTTTTATTTCAATACTCACGACCCTGCAAGTTTGTGCCCACGTACCCACGTAGCTGCCGCGGTTGCGGGCACGAAACCGTTGCGATTGCGGAACGGACCGCGAAGTTAGTGGGAATTAATTGCAAGTCGCGCGGTTAATAGAGAACTCACCCTGCGTGCGCCTGCACCACATTGGCTGAACCAGGATGAAAAAATACTGAAATATTGTGTCAGTGCGGTGCGATGAACGCTCGGATTCGGACGTGCTTCAATGCACAATAAGAATTATAATAATTCGCGACCCGCGCGGCAATAGCCGCTGCACGTAATTGACTATGGGTTCTCAGCAACTCATAGCCAACGAACTGTTGGCGTTTATACAACACGCCATAGATACAATGGACGAAGTCAGCATCGTGCAGATCTGCAAGTCAAATTTCAAAGAAGAAGAGATTTGCAGTGGCAAGGCGCTGCTTTTCCGGACGTTTGGCAAAGCCGAGCAGATGTCTGTCGGAGAGATGGAGGAGCGAAGAGTCTCCGGGACATCATTACGTTGTTCAAGGAGACCGACGCAGACGACGTGCCTGCATTCGTGGCGAAGGAGCTGCATAAGCTGCCCCCTGTCACGTTCGACCACGTCGACGTCACCGGGCTGCTGAAGGACATCACGTCCCTAAAAGCAAGCCTTGCTGAAGTTCAGTGTAAATTGGAGGCCTCAGACAACACCATCAGTGAGTTGCGTGCCCAAGTTGTATTACTTAGTAGTGCTGCTTCGGTAAGTAGATCACCTGAGGCCTGCAACGTGAGCAAAATGCTTCTTTTAGCAGTTTTGAGTCGGCTCACATGCATGTGTCACCGACCTCTGGCGCTGTTGCCGCGCGCGTTTCCCCGCACCCCGCCCGCCGGAGACGACCCCTCCACGTAATTACGCAGCTGTTGCCGCTCCCCGACCTAGTACTCCACAACCACAACCCAGGCAACCAATGAAGTGAAAACCGAAAAAGAAACTCGTATCTGGAGCTGCGTCGTCAGTACCACCGAGACGAGTTGATCAGTGCGACGAGGACGGATTTCGGAAGGTGGAAAAGAAAAAGAAGAACACCAGCCGAAACCTTAGTGGCACCGCCCTGACTGGCCCGAATCATTTATTGCGTCCAGCGGTACCAACGACGTTGTTATACGTGTCGCGTCTTCATTACTGCACCAAGTCTGCGGATATTGTGGAGTATATGCGAGTGAAGGCCAACGCAAACCTGAGGGTCGAGCGGTTGGAGTCGCGCCCCAATTTTAATTCATTTGTGGTGCGAGTACCAACTCAACACCTGTCGACCTTCATGAGAGAAGACTTTTGGCCGGAGGGTGTCATGTACCGGCGTTTCCGAGGACGGCTACCGGACACCCACGTTGCGCCACACGTCGGAGTACATACGTGTAAATAAATAGTATTATATGTATATTATCATGTTATATTGTATTTAAGATATTTATTTAATATTTCTGTTATTGTTTTATTATATTATTGTTATTTTATATGTATGTTAGTCTGTAAGGTATGTATCTATGGGTCCTGGTTGCCTGAAATAAATAAAGAAATAAATAAAATAAATAACAAATTGTAATATAACTCTTATTCAAGTGACTGTAAGTTTAACTTTTGTTAAATTTTAAAATTGTTTTACGTCGTTTTCACGTTTTAAGCCCTACCCAATCAAAATCTTTAAGTTATGGTATGGTGGATAATAGAGCGCAAAGTTTAAATTGCACACAAGCTAGAAAGTGACGACATCGGCACCCGATCTTACGTAGCGTCATTACATATCTCCCCTTTTTTTCTATATCTATGGTCTTTGCACACGTTTTGCTCTTGTTGGAATAAACAAATATATGTGATTTAGATCCTATATTACGTCTATTTGCAAGTTTTATTGAAATTGGTTACCGGAAAGTGCGCGAAACTGATTCATCCCCTAGTTTTCCACCCTGAGAGTTGGAATATTTTCTTCCAATTTAAATGGGACCAATACTGAGGTACTGTAACTGGGGCGTAGCTTGGGATGCGTAGCGAGAGGTACTTTTATGAATTTAAAGTGGAATAATCTTCAAAATATACTTTATTGTATTCTTTCACATACTTATAGTGT